CTGGGTACAACATTCAAGGCATTGATGCACCATGGGTTTATAAAGGGGCATCACGATACTGCCCATTGTGATCACAGCTCCCTTCTAAGCAATCCTCAGTAATATGAGAGGAGCTGGTTTTCTATCACGGGGGTTCAGAGATGATGCTTAACTGCTGTGGGTTTCTTTGGCAGAGAAAAGATGCAAGACCCAGAGATGTACGTTCAGCTCAGGTAAGGAATAAGCGGCACCGCGAGCCCGCGGCACAAGGCCGATGCCCCTGCTGACCCTGGGCTTCACCCTCCCCTCTGTCTTTGCAGCAGCAGGGGCAAGCAGTGCATCCTGGAGCCTGCTCCTCCTCTGGGGCTTCCTCGTGGCGGCCAGCACCCAGGTCGCTCTGCCGCCTTAACCAGCACCTGCTCACGAGGACGGCTGACATGACGCCAGCAAAACTGCTACCCCGAATACTGCTGGCACCTGGCATGGAGGCAGCTCCAGAGGGGTGGGAGACTCCCACCTGGAGCCGGACCCCATGGCTGGGTGCAACGTGCCCCGTGTAGACTCGTGCATGGTGCAGGACACCAACGCTGCTCCAGCTTCATGCCCACCCAGGGGGCCTGGGCTATGCCTCGCCTGGAAAGACGTGAGACCCTCAGCAGCGGCTGATCAGTGCAACAGGCCAGCAGGAAAGCCAGCTTTCTCCCCCGCTCCTGTGTGGTGCATTGCATGCAGGCCTCCGCTCCGAGGTCCCTGGCTGCGATATCCCATGCGCTGGGGGAGCAGGAGGCTCACGAGGGGTTAAGCTCCCAGGGCGGACACAAAGCAGGAACCCCCCCAAGAGTTTAACCCTATGCACGCAGGATGGTGGAGGCAGGACTGGTGCAATGCCGAGCTGCTTTAACTGCTCTCTCCCTGGAGCAGCTCTGCGGGGATCCCTGATGGTTGGGTTTGCCCTGACGCCTGGCTCCAGCCCTCAAGGAAGAAGATGCTGGATTTATTCCACTCCCCACCCTACAACCACCTTCCTGCTAAGAAAGGCTGGGTCTGACCCTCCCATGCGCCCCATCCCTCCACCTCCATCCTGGCAGCGCCGAGTCCTGCCCTGGGGCTCCAGCCCAGTTTTCCTGCTGCTCCACGACCCGGCACCAGAGCCGGCTTGCTGTCCCCACCAGGGTTGGCTGGGCAGGGGTGACCCCCACATCCAACCTCCCTCCTGCTTGAGCTGACATGAGTGGAAAATGGGCATCAAGGAGAGGAGAGGGGCTAACGAGATGCCCTTGCTAGGGCAGCCCCCTCACCTCCCCTCCCATGTCCAACATCCATGATGGGATGGTTTCCTCGCCAGGCTTTCACACATGCTGCCTTAGACACACGTCAGCTCTGAAGTGAGCTTTCTCAGCTGGTAAAGCCGTGACCAGTGACACATGGGAGTCTCACTGCACCCCGAGGCAGACCAGGATCTTCGGGTAAATCCGATCTCTTTTATTAGACCAACTAAAAAAAAAGATAACTAAAAGAGATTGGATTTACCCAAAGAACCTGGTCTGCCCGTGTCCTTAGGCCAACGCGGCTACAACTTATATGCCTAGTCCCTATGCTCACATCAGCCTTAGAGGTGCCGGTGACCCCGGAGCAACTGGATGATGGGGGGGGGGGGGGGGGGGGGGG